CCCACTTCTCTCTGCTGCTGCTGGGCCTTTTCCTTCCACTCCACTGCAGGTACCTCCAGTAAAGCAGTTATTTTTTTGCACAGTAGTAATTGTTTTCTGTATCTTACCACCTTAGCAAACAACAAGCTACTTGAGGACTAAAACTATTTCTTACTTTCTTTGTGTTCCCAGCACCTAACAGAATGCCTCACACCTGACAAGTATTCAATAAATATTTATTTAATAAATGAATGAGTGGTCTTCAGTGAAATGGTCCATATTGGAGACCAGAATAAAGAATCAAACTCATGTTTTTTAAAATTTGTGCAGTATATGGCACAAATATTTAATGTGGGAGGAAGTAGAAATGCACTAGAAGTTAGCTGTTTCAAGATGTGTCATTTTCAAATAGTAACTGCAATAATCACTGTCCCCTATAAAAATAAGGTGTCAAGATTTTACTTATGAATCAACATGTATCAATCATGCATGGGTGCTTTTAAAGACCAGAATTTTGCAATATTAAAAAAAAAAGGCATAACAGGAAAGTTTTCTTACTTGTCCTTAAAAAGATAATAATTTCTTGAAAACAGTAAACTTTCTATTTAGGAACAATCTTCTTTCATTAAATTCTTGGTTTTGCTCTTCAGTTGTGGACATTTGCTTAGAAAACAATATCCTTCTTACTTAGGAGATCATCTGCTTCTGAAATGATATGTATTTATTGTCTTCAGAAATAATTTCCCCTAAATGTGACATAACTAATTCTGTTATTCTAAACGTGGGATATCGTCCTCCATGGCAAATGTATAGCAGGGGTAACTGAACTCCAGAGGAACAAAGAATTTGTTTTTCACAACTTTCACAAAAACAATACTATTTTATAAAACATGGTCTTGTATTTGAATAAACAAGGGACAGTGTTTCTAGAACTTTACCTAATTTAACCACAAAAACAGACAATTTTAAACTCCAGATTTTCTTTTTTCTTTTTTTTTTTTTTCGTGTCCGGCAACGGATCGCAACCCTCAGTGTCGCGCCCGTACCGGACCGGAATCGGCAACGGGATCTCAACCCTCGGTGTTGCTCCCACACCTCGCTCAGCCAGTCAGCAGGAACC